AGATGGACCAGAGTCAATGATGATGACAATAATTACCTGGAAACAAAAACATCTCCTGTCAATAGGAAAGGAAGCTTGCATTATTAGTTGGATTAGACTTTATTTTGTTATCTTTTGGGTCATTTTGATTTAAAACCAGACAGAACCAACTACTGGAACGTATGACAGTATCAGTTTAAAGAGAGGGGAAAATAGGTGATATTCCTCTTCTCCATCTAACCCGTTTGACAACACAGCTGTAGGTGTCACTGTGAGACACTCAGTTTCGTCAGTCAAATTTCTACCACACAATTAATTTATGAGTCAGTGGTACGTACATCAGTACGGGATCTTTTAGCTCTACTCACACATACACGTGATGGGCCACAGCTGGCTGCATTAATCCCAAATGGATCATCCTGTATAAAGGACACCAGGATTATCCCAGAGATACATGCCCAATGAAAGGCCATCAGAGCGCATTCGCAGGGGGTATCGCTTGCCATTTCTCTTCCCTCCTGCACAGCCCCACTCCAGAGAATTCATCAGTTTATCCCAGGATATCTGAAACCTCTCCACAAACATCTCTGCACAACAGCCTCCTACCAGCAAGTGAAGAGCCCACCCAGACAGCACCTTCTTGAAAAAGTAAGGTGAGGCGGCCAGAATTTACAACTGTCCCTAGAGCGAGCAGAGGCAGCACATGTCCTTCAGCAGCAAGAGCCTCGCTAATTAACTTTTGTCTTTGAGAGCTACAGTGCCAGGAACGCCTCACAGTTTCCTTTGAACATCTGCAGGTGCTTGAGCTGCTCCAGATGTGAAGTGGCCAGCGCAAGGCAAGGCTCAAGCAAATCAGACTGATTGTCCTGATTTTCTCATGCCTGCTCAGAGTTTGAAACACAGCCTTAGGAAGGGCAGCAACAGTCATCTGTCTAAATCCCCATATTCTTTTCTGCTAATGAACTTGGAGCATTTGTCAACCCCGCTCCACCTGCTTGTTGCGGGAAAACATTTGGGTTAAACTGAAGGCTTGACATATCTAACAAATTCTCCCTCACTGTGTCTTGGTGTAGTTGTCAGTACCCCCATCTTTCCCCTAGTTCTATCTCTCCAGATTGTGTGTGAATTTTCTCTCCTTCACCTCCATCTGTACTTCTTCTATATTTGTTCCTTTTTGCCTAGCAGTTCTCCTCTCCCCCTGCTTTATTGCTCCAGCTGAGCAGAGGGCAACCTGCTCGTTGTGGTGCCAACCACACTCCTTGTCGGTGCTACCCACAGCTGTGCAGGGAGCCATGAGTGAAAAAGCAAGGGGTTTGATGTGATATATTGGGGTCAAGATCTCCCCTCTGTAGTGTGAACTGTTCTGAGAGCCTATTGCAGCCTCAGCCACTGACAAGCAGAGAGAGAATGGACGTGGCATCAGGGTTTGGGGGGGCAAGAGCAACATGCAGTTTCTCCCCATCCCATCCCATCCCATCCCATCCCATCCCATCCCATCCCATCCCATCCCATCCCATCCCGTTGCCATGCCACTGGGACCCCAGCTGCTCGGCAGACACATGCCTGCAGCCCGCCTTGTTGCTGAGCTGCTGTCTGAAGCTAAAGCCTTCTCCATTTCCAACCTGTTATTTTGCTCTTCTGGCACTCATCACATCCACGTGTGGGGCTGTCACCCACAGTCCTGGCAACGCTGCAAGATTGGAACGAGGCAAAAAGAGCTGTTTTGTAGGTTATGGGTGGTGGTGAAAAAGAGCATGCTGCTGCTGCTGCAAAGTCAGGAATAGGGCCAGGCTACAAAAGGCTGAACCAGCCCATATGCTTCAACACCCTTCACCCCCACCACAACATTTACCAGATGTTCAAGTGCACATTTTGATTCATCCCATCATAAAGGTTGAAAACATTTAAAAATTAAGATCCAAGCACAGGCTAGCACCCTCTTCAAAAATGAGAGTGTCTGGAGATGATGTTTTACTTCAAGATCATCAAAACAATGGGGGGGACACCACAAAATGGTTCACGTTAGAAATCCTACCTTAGCCAGTATCAAATTTTAAGTCTTTGACGTAAGAGAAACTGGAGGGAAAAAAAATACATGAGCAGAACCTCATCTCCTTTCCTCAACGCATACTCTACCTGTGAGCAGGAGACAGGCTGTGACTCCTGCCTACTCACGCCACAGGAACTGTGTTTCAAAGAACTGTTTAATGATGGCTCTAATGTACCAACACAGCCTGTCTCCAAACACTCCTTTGCATCGGCCTGTTTGAAACTGGAGTGGAGCCCAGCTGCGCTCCGAGGATTGCACTGTCATCCCGAGTGCCGGCTTTGCAGCCCATCTTGCCACCCACTCAGCAGAACAGCTGCAGGTTTGCTGTACTAGAGCTTTCTGCGTGCCCTGCATTTCGGGAAAACCTCCTCCACAGAGAACATGAATCTCCCATTAGCCTTAATAGCACCTAAATTTGAACAAGGGGAGAAAACATCATACAATATTAAACGTGCAATTCCGTTAACAGCACACACTGTACCCATGTGAGTAGCTGCACAGTTTACACCCCCTTTAGTCCATCTGATCTACTTTCAAAAGGATTTGCACATGAAGAATGTTCTTTATCTTTGTGCCAACCACAGGCATGTACCTTCTGAGTAGTATTTGGAGCATACAATGTATCTGGTGCATCAAAAAAATTTTCTTCCCTCTATTCTTCCTCTTTCGGAAATACGGATTCTCTCCCAGCTCTGAAGAGTCCCTCCAACGGTGCTTTTCACAGGAGCTACTAAGCAGCTCTGTGAAGACCACCTCTGTATCTGCCTAACCAGTTGTATTAGACACCTCCCATGTTTAGGCCCATTAACCTGATCACAACAGCTCGATGAATTAATGCTTATATAGACACAGTTGGCAGCTTCTAATTAAATAATTATGGCTAAGCAGCTGCAGAGAAGTTGTAATGTTCCACTAGAAAGCCAGATGCCAATTTTATTGTTCCTCAAAGTTTCAAATGAAATGACTTCAGGAAATTTGTAAGGGGGCATCTTTTGCTCCAGGTGAATCCTGCAGGCACCGTGGCTGCTTCGGGCTGGTGGGCTGCAGCCAAGCCCAAGACTGTGGCCAGGGGACTAGCACCAGCTCTCTTGTGGCAAGCAGCAAATGGCACCGAGTGTAACAGAACCATTTGGATCAAGATAAAAGAGAGTGATTTGGCATCGCGGTCGTTGCTTTAGCTTTAACCTAGGGAAGGACCCTTTGAAAAATCCATCTCTGAAACTGTGTCAGTGTCAAACCCCCACAAAACTGACAGGAGCCAAATGCAAAGGCTGTCAAACTGCCCAAGAGTCTTTCCAGGAACTTTAATTGGATCAGGCTTTCCCTGCACTGGTGAGAAGATTTTGTGACACCTGCTATAGACTTTCACTCCCCAAAATTTCTATGGTACCTCTCATCTTGGCTGTAGTGATGTAGAAGCAATGAGCAATCCTTGAAGGCAAAAATTTGAGTAATATGAAAATCAGGAGTCTGTGTTGGCTAATTCATGCAAAACCTACATTCGTCCTCTCTTCAGTTATCAAACCATTGTACCGATAAGGAGTTTATATTTTTTTCTGATTTTAAATATAAATGCAAACACAATTTATTCTAATCCATTCCTTTACTACATTAATTCTCCTCCTATACCTTGTACAAGACACTACGATTTCAAACAGAAGAAGCCTAGTAATAGAAATCATCCATCCCTGTCGGAATATAAGCGGATCCATGACCTTAGTACTATTTTGCTAAGAAATCCAGCTAGAAAACTAATTTGAAGTAAATCTATGCATGTCAAAAATACGGATGGCTTTTCAGGGTGCTAACTTAAGCATCATTACATAAGCAGATTAGGGCTGCCTGTTGAGCCCAGACACAAGAGTAGATGGCGCTGGATGCAGTATTACACGCAAACTATTCACTTCCTGAGACATCTTTCATCTACAACTTTTGTCAGCTCTCCGCGCTGCTGAGCCGGCTAACCAAAGGCGCTGCACGCAGCCCAGCAGCTCTGCCAGTGCCGCGTCAGCCTTCTCTGAACCCCGCTGCCCGAAGCAGCAGCTGGCTACAGCCTGCTGCTACAAATGGGCTTTCCTGGGGAAATGTTCCATCCTTCACCCTTTTGAAATGAAAATGGAGGAAAACAGCCTCATGAACCTCTCAAATATTTGAGCACAGCAGCTGTGGAATGATTTTCTGATGCAGAATTATAGAATCAAAATTACCCTCGTGTTACCATTGGTAACGGTGCCTCTACCTGAATATCAGCTTAGAAAGTTAATGAGCCTGCTACAGCCATCAGCTAAAATCACCACAACAGTATGTGAGCCGATGTGATTGCGGTAAGCAGGGCAGGTACTTCTCATTATGAGGGTAGTTTGGTTTTCATGGGCACGTTGCATAACAAGGCACAGCAACTTGCCTCTCTCCGCTCTGAGCCCTCGTTCCAGAGCACATCAGCTGGCTCCGAGAAGGCCCCCTATTGAAAAGCAGCCAGGGGGACAGGATTTTGTTTTCCCTTCCCTGTGTGTAAGTGTGTCAGGTTTGTTGACAGATGGCTTGGCTGACTCTGCTTGACTATTATCAAGCAGCTATTACCTTTGTAAACTGAATCCCATTTGAAGATTTTCTGTAATTAAATCTGCAGTGTGTTTGCAAGGCTCGTATTTCATCCTGCACGTATTCGGGAAGCGTGCAAGGCAGTCAGATGGCTGATTTACACAGCCAGAGACAGCAGCAGCCTTCAGCCACGGGGGTGGGGAGCTTTTGGCAGTCTGTGCTGCCACCTAGCCAAGACCAAGCCATTGAGTTCAGCCTTGCTTTACATTTTGAAAGCTTAAACTGAAGCGCATCCCTCTAGATCTAAAGCCTTAGTCTGCAGCAGCACAAGGAAATTTGCACTCTTTGTGCTCTGAGAATTGTACAGTCAACAGAAGAGAGCAGCTTAAAACGGGTAGCTACATTTCCTTCAGAACTGTCTTGTACTTACGGTAGAAGACATATTCTGTGTAGCTGGACCAGACCTTGTCGTCTGTGTATTGGTTGACAAAGGAAGCTGTTACCGAGGAGTTACAGGCCACCATGTGGAATCCACACTCGGACAACATGTCGAAAGCCCTCTCCAGGTGCTTGAACTTGAGATAAAACCTGGAGGTGTATCTTTCTGGAGCCCTGTCTGGGTCTCTGCTTTCATTCAAACTTTCTCCAAAGACCTCTTTGACCAGAGCAATCCTTCCGCAAACCAAAATCCTTGGGACCCTCCTGAATTTGGCATCTGCTTGGCTCTCCCTGCCAATAGTGCACGACCCCCGGTACCCGATGGTAATGAATCCCCACTTCCGATCAGGCGGTAAGAGCGATGAGGGTGGGCATATTCTCGTGTCACTGCCTTGGGAGACCTCTTCATAGTCACTGTGGCAATAATCATCGGGGCTTTGCTTGTTGTCATCAGGAGTCAGGAGTTTGACCAAGTCTGGGAGCTGGAAGTACTCAGCCTCCCTCTTGAGCCTTCCCTTCTCTGGGAAGTGGTCAGGCAGAACCACTTGCTTGTCCCTGAGATAGTCCAGAATATAGCGGAAAAGGAAACCATCTCTGTCGATGAAGAATCTTCCCTTGGAGTCCTTGGCCAGATCGTTGGCTGTGTCTCTCTTTGGGGTGAACATTTTCCATAGCAGGGAGTGTGGGGTGCCAACCAAGGTGGAGTGGCGAGTGAAGTAAACCTGGCCGCCCACGTTTAGCTCCACTACCTCTGGGAAGGAGTGCAGCCCAGTCCCCTGCTCTCGAGAAGGAAGGTAAGTCCTGCAGTTGCCACTCAGAGCCATTGTACTTTAAAACAGAATTCAGCAGCACGAAGCAGCAGGACTATCAATCACATCAAAGTGTAGAACAAGGCTCCCAACATTAAGGAGAAACGGGGGAAAGGGGAAGTGAGAAAAGAAAAATAGCCAGAAGGTTTGTTTAAAAAAAAATCTGAATTGTCCATGAGTGACAGAGTGGCAGAAGTGGCTTGTAACCTAAGCCATAGCGACTGGAGAGCAATCACTTCATGAAATGCAATCACGTCGTTAGATCTTCCAACAAAGCCATCAAAATCAAGGTCAAGCCAAGCCTATGGTCATTCACAGGTCTGTCAAAAGGGAAAACAAAACAAGACACAAATTATTCCTTTAAGCATCACAGAAGCTGCAACAGAGAAAAAGCAGATCAGTTTAGAAGCCAAGCTAGATCTCCTGCTAAATAGGTCTATTTTTTTTGCAAGTTCTACGCTTCTTTTTCACAAGTAGTAATCAATGGAAGGACTACATATGACTCCACTGTTTAAAAGAAAATACATACTTCATGTTTAAAGAAACATCTAATTTAGACATGCACATGAGGGAACAAGAACAGTGAGTCTTACCTTGGTTACAATTAATGCATAGCTCTTGTAAAGGAAAGCAAAATTTCAAGACACTCAGAACACACATACAGCCACACAAAGTCCAGTTAGCATGAAATCCAATCCCAGCAAAGGACAGCAAAGGCAAGAAAAGTGCTCTTAGCAACATCCATGTAGATCTCAAGAGTTAAATGGAGTCACAGGAAAGTTAACCGTGGCAGGTGATGAGAGAAACCGATACATACAGCACAATGGGGGAGAAGGAAAAAAAAAATAATAAAAATAAAAAAAAGACCAAAAAACCCCCAAAAATGCAACAAACCCCTTGGATAAATCTGCCGGGGCTCTGTGAGAGCGGGGCAGGGGAGCGCGTTTCGGCTGGCTCAGATGACTTGCAGAAACCCCGCAGCCTGCGCTAAGGGCTGGCGGGCTCCGGCGGCTCCCGCGGCCGCAGCCACCCGCGCAGCGCAGCCGGCGGCTCAGCCATGGCCCCGCCGGGGCCGGGGCGCTGCGGGGCCGCCCCGTTCCCCTCCGCCCCGCCGGGCCCGGGGGAGGGGGGGGCCGCTCCCGCGCCCCCCTGCGCCGCGCTGCGCGGCTCTGCTCAGCGGCGCGGAGCCGGGAGCGCGGAGGGCGATGCCGATTGCATCATCTTAAAGGAGTCGGGGCGGGATGGGCCCCCCGCCGGGGTCAGCACCGCGGACAGCGCCGGGGGTCAGCACCGCGGACAGCGCCGGGGTCAGCACCGCGGACAGCGCCCGCAGCGCCGACAGCGCCGGGGCCGGGGCCGCCGCCCGCTCCGCTCGAGCTGGGGTAAAGTTCCTCCCGCTCCGTTCCTCTCCGTCCCCCGCCAACCGGCAGCGCCCCGGCCCCGCCCGCCCGCCCGCCGAAACGTGCCTTTCCCGGCTCCGCGCAGGCACGGCGGGGCGTTCAGCCGGCGAGGCGGGCGGGCAGGGTGGGAGCGCCCGGCGGGTGGGGGCTCCCGCCACGCCCGCCCGTGGCGTTCAAGCAGGACCGTGGGTTTGTCACGCTGCTGGCGCTCCTCATCTCCCCCAGCAGCGACCCAGGAAGGGCAGGAGCCGGCAGTGAGGTGATCCGGGGCGCGGGAGGGAGGAGGTGGCACCCCGAAGGAGGCTCGGCGTGGCAGGAGCGGTCCCGCACCGACTTTATTAACCGGGGGGTGGGGGGGGAGCAGCGGCCGCGGCTCCGCGTCCGCCCCGCGCTCCCCCGCGGCCGTGGGCGCGCCGGCACCGCCACCTCGCGTCCGCGGGCGCGATCGCGCAGGATCGTCCCGGCTGCTCCGGGCGAGAAGAAGCCGGAGGGTCCCGGGGGAGCGGGGGGGTCGCGGCGCGGCCGGCTGCCCCGCTGCGTGCGGGCTCCGGGGCGGTAAATCGGAGAGTCCCGGCCCGCCCCGCTCAGCGGGACGTTAAGCACATGCCTCGGGTTGGATAAGCACGGCACAAAACATGAAATGAAGCCACGAAGCTGCGTAAATAGCTGACCGGGTCGCAGCCACGATGCACAGCCGGCAGCGATTTCACAGCTGGTCGTGCACCGGTAACAGGGAAGTCCAGCTTTGCGTCTAGCATGCATCAGTTCTGGGCAAAAATAGACTACTCAGAACGATAAACATATGATAAAATAAAGCCTTTTACTCAAACATTAACCAGAACCTGGAGGGGATGCTTTAGAGTGAAATCTTTGCGTGAGGAAGTCACCCTGCACAGGTAGTTTTTGCTGGCTGCACTGAAGTTGCAGATACTTCAGTGAGATCCTTCTGAAAACATGGTCATAATTTAAAAAACAGAACAGTTAACACAACATGCTAAAATACAATTTTTAGGCTAAGGTAGAAATTCATTAATTTGTATACTAAGAGACTTTTCAAATTCAAATCTGAGGGCTGAATAGTTAATCAAACTCTTGATTTTTACCTTAATTTCATTAATTCTGAAGCAACCTCTGGGCTCCCGAGCCAAGGTTCTGATTCTCCTGGATCTGATTTCTAATTTTCAGACCAGCAGAATCTGGTACTACTATGGAGAATGCTCACTGTATCTCAGAAAGAGAAAAGCCAAAGTATTGTGCATCTTCCCTTGTGGTTCTGGGAGATGAGCTGACAAAGTGCTCGCCAAGTGCTCCTTAATGCTTACAAGGGGGATTTAAAGGTGTGATGTGAGAACATGTTAACTTAGATGTCTTCATGACTTTTTCAAGAGTCTGGTACAGTCACTGCATACAGGTTTTTACATCTGCATGACCAGTCAGATGAACTGATAGCTTCCTTTGGGATTTAAGCTCGTTAGTGCCGCCCCTGCTCAAAGCAAGCAGTATTGCATCAGCTTTTCCAAATATGTTAGTTATTATTGTTAGTTAATATGCTGTAATAATATTTAAATCACTTTCCATAAGGCCAGTGATGCCATCCTCACAGAGCTTGAAGAATCAATTCACTCCCCCCAGTAAAAACTGATCTTGTTCAAACAAGCACTGAAGCCTTTTGTGATCATGCAGTGTGAATAAGACCCAAACCACCAAGGCAGGAGGAGAAAGATCACCTGGGTGGAAGTTTTGGGGGCCAACAGGAGACAACACAGTAAGTCCGATGTGCAGGCGCTTAGTGAATGGCACGGTGACAAGAGTCTTACAAAAAATTGTGATTCCTGACAAGCTTCTGTGAAGCATTCCGACATGGATACCATGTGATTAGCGAATACAGAGATATTAAGCTCCAAGTCTTTTTGAAAAATTATAATCAGAATTGCCCTTTGAAAAGAACAAAAATCTTAGAATTTTAATCACAACGGCTTTAGAAATGCATCTGCACTTTTCAAATAATAAATGAAATTCAACACCTGCTTTTATTTCTTTATGCAGGATGTTCCAATCACTTTACTGTAACATAATATCATTTCCTTTGATGAAATGACTTCAGTAGTAAAAGCATCACAGAATGCTTCCCAGCTAAAGACAAGGCATTGGCAAAGTCCATCAAAATGCAGCCTGAGAAGAGTGAAGCTTGAAAATCTGGGCCGAATACACTGGTGACCTAAATGTAAAGTATGTGTCAGGGCCACACTAAGGTTCTTACCTATTCAGCTGCAGAACCAGCGCAGATCATTTTAAAAGCAGCTCCAGTTCTGATGGGAAAGAAAAGCAGCATCTGTCAAAGGGAAAAGGATGAAGCATGTTCCACTTTTAACAGATGCCTACATAACCTTCAATACAGCTAGGGGAAAATTTAGCCCAAGCTTTAGTGTATGTTCCAAAAGTCACAGCAGAGCTAGGCTTAAACCCAATGTACTAATGATGTGACATCATTCCCGGGTTTGAGGTCATTCCTTATGTCAGAGTGCTAAATTAGCATTCCTACTTTCAGAAAATCATGGGACAACTGACTTCATCAAATTCTGTTGGTGCTAAAAAAAGGTGTCTTAAAAGAAGCAGCAATGAATGTTAGAGAGAAAGGGTAGTATTCAGCTAGGTCTGTAGTAGCAATGGTATGTACACATATCACCTTACAAACTGCGGTGTGAATACACAAGCTATAAATACGAATCAAGTCGCCCACACATAATGAGAAATGTCGAAGCTGTTTATCAGCATTTAGCAACACCATGCAGAACTTCAAGGCACCCAGAGAAGCAGCAATTGAAAGTAGCAGCAAGTGAAGGAGTGATTCTGGGAAGAAAATAATAACTAAGTTGGATTTTGGACAGAAGATTTCAGCTAAAAAGACACATGGGAACTTTCATCACTCTGGGTGATTTTTACACACAATAGTTAAAATAAAAAAGGAAGAAAGAAAACCAGTACTTCCAGTTCTAGACTTACACTTTGATTCAGAAATTACTTCAAGGGGCCACCCAAGGATCCTTCAGCCACATAGCCTGTGACATTCAGTGCTCCTTGGCAGACTATCTAAATACCAAGCCAACGCAACGTTTCGCCAGGGCAAAGGTCCCTCAAGCCAGAGAGGAGTGCAGTTTCTGAGAAGGGTGGCAAAGAAAAACAGAAATGCCCGGCCCTGGCAGATGCCATAGGCCCAATTCTGGCTTATTGTCAGAGCGACGTAAAGGGCTGGAGGCCTCATGGAGAAGCAGGCACTGTGTCCTGTAGGCAGATGCCAGCGCTTCCAGACAAGACTTCCAATCCCATCTCAAGCCATAGCAAAGAACGGGAACAGAGCCCTGGTAGGAATAAATGCCGGGCTCCTGCAGTTACAGACCTTTAACCCAGACACTTTTCTAAAGGGAGTATATCACTCCTAGAGTGGAGTGGTCTTCACATCACTCAGGTAACTCTAGAAACTGAGCTCCCAGGAACTGAGCTGGCAGGAAAAGTATGATACTGAGCTAAAGTAACACGTTATCCACTGATCCAGCAGTGCGAATTACATACAGTGAAAATCTCATCTGCTGAAATCCAGCAGTATATGTGAATAAGAAGCCCTAACAAATCTTCTACTTTGAAGAAAAAGCATAAAGAAACACTAAAATGGCAGAATCTCCCTAAGAAAAGGATCTGCTAGCAAAAGAGCACAAGTGCCATAACATAGGATTTATTAACAAGTACATAGTAAAGCATTATACAGATTTGCCCTTGATCTTTTATTCATAACTCAAGTGCATAATGTATTTTCATCAAAAAAAAAAAAAGGTAAAGGGGAAGAATAGCTTTCACAGCTGCTCAGCATGTGAGCATGGCCACAGTGCAAGACAGACAATTCAAATAGAAGACATGCGACAACATTTTTTTCCCATCATGTAAGATACAGAGTGTGGGCACAGCTTCTCAAAAAAACCTCTGTGCTCCTTCTGTCAAACTCCAAATCCAAGGCAAATCCATCACACACGGTTCTAGGTTTTCAAAAACTGACAGTAAGAGGGAATCATGTTCCACCGATTTAGATAACAATTGTTGTACATCAGATAACAGTCTGACCAAGACTTGGTATATCCAACACTGACAAATCCTTTAGAATTTCATGGGCACTCTTCAACAAAGCAATCCGCTATACAAACAATCCTGGAGGTCTCTGACACTTCAATGGGCTCAGCGTGTACAGGGCATCAGAGACCCCGTGCACTCACATCAGCATCCAAGGATTAAACTCAAACAAAATCATAGTTTTCAGTCACCCTTCTGTAAATGACTTCCTTTCTCTCTTACAAGTTCTGCCATTGCAAAACCTACCTCACCAGACTCCCTCCTCCCCTCCTTTTCCCCTTCCTCCAACATTTCCAAAGTTGTCTGAATACTTTCTCAGTCTGGGTCAAATCATCCCATTATTAACACTGGTGTAATTATAGTATGCTTTCTAATGTCACAGCTAAAACAACGTTCAGTCCTCACTCAGTAGCACTGTTATGGTGTCAGCACTGTGCAGTCCATGTACTAATTTTATGAGTATCTTTACTCTTCCCATCTTGGAGCCATTTCAAGGCCTCTTGCAAAGCCAGGTCCTCTGCCCAGATAACCTGGGTGCAGCCAGAGCCAGTCCCTTGAGGAAGGGACAGTGTGTACCAGGCCATGTTTGATGCCTTGCCAGGTTGTACCTCTAGGCACAGGGAGCGAGGCTGTTCACAGAAGACCCTTTCCAAGTCTCACAGGGCCAAAGCAGTTGTGTAGCCACAATGTCTTGCCTCCCCTTGAACCTTGAGGCCTGTCTCAGACTACACACTGCTACAGACAGGTGGGAACTTGTCCTGCAAATCTGAAGGAGATGATACGCTAAAGCGATGTTGAGAAGCCTAGTGCAGAGAGAATTAATTAATGAAAGCTCAACCTAAACTGTCAGAAAATTCTAATAATCTAAGCAAATCCAAATAGATTTCTAGCCAAAGAGCATTTCACCAGCAGATCACAATTACACAGCCCACTGCCTGGGATTTGGGTCTCATTTTAATGTTCGGTGAACTGCAACCAAGTCACACAGTTCAGCAAAGTGGCACTAAGTCATCAACATCAGATGTAGCCTGCACACTCCACAGGTCTTCAATGAAATCTGCAATCTTCTTAGCCTTCTAATTTACCTAAAGTATACATTTGCCAGAACAACCTTACACCGCAGTTACTGATCTCTGTACTATCCATGGCTGCAATTCCCCCACCGCTATTTCATTCAGTTCTACAAATGCACATATTTTCTAGGTGGCTGTTCTCAGGAGATAGCGTGTACACTGCAACATAAGATTCCTTTTACAGGAGAGGCTTGTAACAGGAATAGAAGATAAATACAGTGATCTCACTAGAAGAAGATTACATACATGAGAGTTTGTAACAAAGTAACTGTAACTGTGTCCTGCCAAATTGAATTAAAAAAAAAAAAAAAAAAAGAAAGAAAAGCATATACATACTTCATAACAGGGAGTGACGCTTGCAGAAGCATGTGTGCCCAAGTGGCAAGTGTTTGGTTCCAGCATGCATATGAGAAGCTATGCTACATCAAGCATGGGATTGCAACTGTTTATGCGTGCACAGCTAACGTATTTCTAAACCTCATTACCATGTACTTATTCAGCGACAACGATAAAGTGGCAATCACAATTCATTTCATCCTGAAGTTTCAGCTGAACTACCTCAGCCGGGTTTTCCCGGGCCCTGTCCGCCACAAAGCCTACCTGAGTCAGCAATGCACACTCACTCCTTCCTACACCCAGTGCCAGGACTGCAGGTATAAAACCAAATCCTAGTTAACAGCCTTTTCCCCTGGCCCTACCTGAAAAAAAGGGAGCAAATGATGAAACTAAAGGATGAATGGAATGACTGACAAAGGACTGTGAAGGAAGGGAGCTTCTTTGCATTAGCGTGTCTTCACAGTCCCAGTCTTCTTTTTTTCTCAGTTCCACAGTATTCCCAGGTCCTGCAGCTTATTTGTCAGGGACAGGCTAACACTGGGCTTTAATAAAGACAAGAAGATTCATGGCTCAACAAACTTTTTTGTCTAGCCTCAGGAAAATATCAGTTTTGTTTAATGTGGACATGTGACAGGTATGAAGGTTTAATATTAAATTACAGCAATTATTTACTTTTCATTCAGCAGCACCATCACCTACTCCATTGCCTTCAGTACCTGCAGTTTGACATAAACTCTTCCATCCATGCAGTGAACAAAGCACACCCTGTTCCCATTAGGAGGAGATCTAGACAGATCACGGGGCAAGGTGCTAAACTTGAAGGCAAAACCACTTCATGTAACTAAGCTGTGGCCTTGAGAAAAACAAACAAACAGAAAAACAGCCTTAAATGAACATTATGCAAAATAGTATTTCTAGGTCCACAGTCTACTCTCTTCCTTCCATTGATGTCAACAAGAATTCTGTCTGAATCTTGCGAATGGCATTTTATCCCTTCTCTACTCCACATTTATACAAGGATTCACAATACCATTTCTTCTGATGAATAATAGGAAAAAATCCTGGAGAGAAAGAGATTTTTGACAATTAAAAAGTTGCTTAGTATTAAATTCCTCTGTGACCTCAAACGCATTAATACTAAACCTTACTGAAACCCTTCTGATGTTACCCACATATATAAACTGTAGTGAAACCAGAATTTTGCACCTGGCTAAAAGCAGATGACGCTGCTGAGCATCAGCAGACACGGGGAACCTGGGGACACCATCAGCCCGAGACCCTCTGTGCTTTACTTCAGGAGGTGGCTCTGAAAGTCAGCATGTCACTCACTCGGGGTGCAGCGTCACGACGTGTTCCGATGCCCCGAACGATCGGGGCTGATGCTGATGTCGTGGTCGGGGAGAGCCAGACCGAGACCAGGCCCCAGCCACCATCTCTCCTGGTCCCACCAAATTCAGCCTCTCCTCGCTCCCCAGCAGGTCTTCCTGCCTGATCACGAATGAATTGCAAATGCAGCAGTGACAAGAGACTGGAGGAATGTGGGGCTGTTGCTGTCATCACCAGAGCCCAGGCGTTGTGTGTTGCTGCATCTCCTGAAGAAAAGCTCAGCTTTCCTGTGAAGTTTCTTACACCACTACATCTGTTCTGCATGACCGCAGCAAGATTTCCCCACTGGGTTTCTCCAGGCTGAGAAACAGTGGTGCAAAGATTTACGAACATAATTTTTTTTTGTTTGTTTGTTTACATATCATTGGTGGCTGGAGTGGGAGAGAACAGTAAAAATAAGTTAACAATCACCAGTGAGATGGTGCCTTGCAGCTTCACCTCCCAGTCACTCAGCACCAGTCCTCCCATTTCACAGCTGGGGCACCCGACCCTCCGCATGTAAGATGAAGTAAAAAAGCAAAATAGCAAAGCAGTAAAAGAAGTTACCGACTTCTAGTATTTTAACGCTGAGCGAAATATGGATAGAAGATTATTGTCTGCATGTACTTAAAAGCCAATGTTTCGCTTCTCCTCAGATTTTAGGTAAAACAACGGGAGACAGAAACCAGTCTAAGCCTGTTATAAGAGAAAGGTTTGACAAGAGTGGGAAGGCGGCCAGCTTCCGTCTCGCGGGGGGCTGCGCGACCCCCCCAACCGCGAGGGGTGACCAAGCCGTCCCGCGGGACGAGCCCGAAGCCGCCAAACGCCGGCAGCGGCGCGGGGAGCGGCCCACAGCCGCCACCATTCCGCGCTGCATCGCCATCTTGCCTTTCCCCTCCCCGCGTCGCGGCGTCGTCGTCACGCAGTCCGGGGGCGGGGCAAGAGGCGGCGCATGCCCCGTGGGGGGGGCGTTCCGCCCAGCGCGCTGTGCGCAGGCGCGGCCCCCTTGCCCCCGGAAGTGCTGGCGCCGCCGGGTGACACGTCGCAGGGGCCGCGGCGGCGGGTGCAGGGCCGGGCTCGGGGTGCAGGTGGGGCTGGGCTGGTCCGGGGGGAGGGGGTTGTGCTGTGGTGGGAGGGGCAGGGGTGCAGGTGGGGCTGGGGGTGCAGCTAGGGCTGGGTTGGGGAGCCGGGGGTTGCGGGTGTGGTTGTGGCTGTGCGGGGGGGGGGGCTGTGAAGGGGGGAGGCGGGGGCTGTGGGGGTTGTGTTGGGGAGGGGGCGGAGGGGGCTGGGGGTGCAGGTGTGGATGTGAAGGGGGGCTGAAGGGTACAGGTGGGGCTGGGGGTGCAGGTGCCCCTGTGTTGAGGGAGGGGGCCGGGGGTTGCAGGCGGGGCTGTGTTGGGGCGCTGTGGGTGGGGGTCCCTGTGTTGGGGGGCCACCCGCTGCCTCCTCAGGCCCTCGCTCTCGCCCCTTCCCTGCGAGGGGGAACCCCCGAGCGAGGGGAAGCCCTGGGGCAGTCCCGGAGCTCAGGGGAGCTGAGGGAGGGCTGGATGGGCAGAGCCGCTCGGCCTCTCCAAGGTGCTGCCTCCCGGGTGGGTTTGGAGACCCGAGCGAGCCTCGCTTTTCTCTTGCAGATAATTTGCCATGTCTGGGTTTGACAGCTTCAACACAGACTTCTTCCAGACCAGCTACAGCATCGATGACCAGACACAGTCCTATGATTACAGTGGGAGACCATACAGCAAGTAACTTGTGCATGCCTCTTGCACCCGAGTGATGTGTGTCGCATAAAGCCATTCAGCCATGCTGCTTTGGCCTGACCTGAGATACTCCTGGGATAGTCTTTGTTCAGAAAAGGATTGGCAATTCAGCCAACAGCTGCAGCCTGCAAATGAATTCCTGCTGCTCTGTTTTATGGAGAGCATAACCTACATTCTATAAATGGAGATTTAAAGCAGTTGTATGTTGAATACTCTGCCTTCTACATTTTAAGGCAAAGATTAGAAAACTGAAAGAGATTATATGAGTAATCTTAGTGATATGAACAGTCTTCACATTTTGGGGAGAAAAGTATTGTTGTTCTGTAAATCCATCTCCAGTTGTTCACTCAGGGAGTACAAATTAGTTGCAACATCGCGTAAGTGAGCGTGCCATGCTGGTGGGGATTCCTGGGCTTCGGTGGGGCAGTGTGGCAAAGGCTTCGAGGTCAGGGCAGCTTCTGGGAAATCCTGCGTCAGGCTCGGGGATCTGGTCCCTTACGTGACCTCTGTCATCCCCGCGATGGATGGAGCAGATCCTGTTTGTGTCCTGGGAAGGATTACAGGCTGTGATGAGGCTGAACGCTACTAACACAAGGAAAGAAAGAAAGGAGGAGTAGTTCCAGGTCTTCATTCTTAGTATTTTTAAAAATATTTTAGAGACATTTACTGAAATCTCTGTAATCAGACTTGGAAATGGTTAGTGGCAGGAGTAATTTATGAGTTTGTTTAGGAGCAGAGGATAGCTTTGATGAGGCTTTTTTTGAAGGTAGCAATCTATATTTTTATACACATAAAAAATATAATATTCCAAAGACAGTATGAATTGATTTGTTAGTAAATAGTTGAGAATACATGAAATGCAAAACTGAAAAGTTGCCCTTTTTTTTTTTTTTCCCTGTGTCATGTTCTGTAGGTAGATGTCATAATGTGTTTAATGTCCATACCATAATGCTTTCTTATATGCCATAATGCTACCCGATGCACATGGTGCCCAAGTTGAAGAGAAAAGCGGCTTTCCGGGTTTTTATCTATGCTCATTTTTGAAATATAGAGGGGAACAAAAGTGGTGGTATGAGTAACTGTTCTGTAACAGTGAGTTTCGAAATAAACATTTTAAATGGCAAATTAACGTTGGCATCAAGAGAGCTGTCAGTAGTACTTAATGGATAAGATTTTAATAAGTTTGAGATGTAAAATTTTCCTACTCTTACAGATCTACAGCCTGCTGTAGTAATTCAGTCACTGGGTAATGCTTATTTTTCCAGGCCTGTGACTTAAAACCAAACAGCAATACTAGTGTATCTAGCAAGAATAAGCTTGTTTAGCTTAGCAGTATTGTTTATAAAGGTTTGAATTGATGAATGTGGCTGTATGACTAACAGACTTAGCTCTGAGTAGAGGATCATCTAATGAGACTTTTCAAAAAAGAAGAAGGAAGGATTGTTTTCTGCAACTTATTTACTGAAAATAAGCTTGGCTTTTGCAGGGAGGTGTTTAAAATAAAAGTTGTTATCTGTCCATAATGTGCTCTCGTTCTTTGTAGGCAGTATGGAGACTATGAATACTCTCAACAAAGTGGATTTGTCCCTCCAGACATGATGCAGCAGCAGCAGCCTTACACAGGGCAGATTTACCAGCCAACGCAGACATACACTCCAGCTTCAGCACAGTCTTTTTATGGAAGTAGTTTTGAGGATGAGCCGCCTCTATTAGAAGGTATAACTTATGTTTTATGGCCAAAATCCAAAACTCCTCCCAGTTTGGGGATAAGTTGAGTAGCAGGGTGTGTATTTCCTACTCCTGAAAATGCACGGTTGATTTGACATTCTCATTAATTTTCCTTTTTGCTTAACTATATTTTGGTATATGAAATACATGGTTTTTTGTGAACTTCTGCAGTTTTAGAACTGTGCTCTATTGATTTCTACCAGCTGTTCTGTGGAAGAGACAATTGAATGGATAACCTGACTTCATACACCTCTTATGACAAAACACTTATTTCTGTTGTTGCAAATAATACTTTACTTTACAAAAACTGGGCAATTTAATTGATGCAGTTAGTGTCAGTTGATTCTCTGGTTGGAACTGAAATATTTCTTTGCTAAAGAGGAATGTTAAACACTGCAGAAATTCCTGTAGACTACAGCCTGTGCGGAGTGCCAGAACAGATCCGTAGTTAGTGTCTGGATCGATGGTTTCAGTTTCCATCTCGTAGCCATCGTCGTTCAGTACCAGACAACTGAAGAAAGCCTTGCTCTTACTGCTCAGAGATGGGTATTCATGGTATCTTCCACCCTGCTGTGGTTTTTTTGTTTGTTTGTTTTCTTCAAAAAATTGCTTTGTTTACATAGCTGCATCCCAGGGCCTGAGGTGAGCAGATAGTAACTGCATTCATAGTGAGGTTGTCACGCACAACTGTGGCCAAACTGTGTGGCTGGGGACCTGAAATTGTACCTAGGTGGAGGGAGCTGTGCATCTCCTTGTCATGAGACACTGAGTGTGAAAAGGCGTGGGTGGGTTTTTTGGTGGGCTTAGTGGCTGGTTTGTGAAAGAGAAATTCACTGAGGGTAATTAAGTCCAGAGAAACTACTTTGAATTAGAAATCCTTGAGCCACCAGTCATGGGAGACTTGGGGAATCTGCATGCTCTGTGCTTTACTCTTTCATGTGTACCCGCCTTTGGCCACTTCCAGGGACAGGGCACTGGGCTAAATTAACTTTTGGGCTGACCCAGGACACTGCGCTTCTGCTCTTACGTGGTCCTTTAGAAACCACCTTGTCTCTTCCAAGCATCTGAGATGTGGAATCTGGGGGGGCAGCTTGAGGAAAGGTGGAATGACTTAATTCTCTGGTCCCTATAGGATGGTATCTGCAGGAGATTTAAAAGTGGAGAGGCAGGGAAAACTGAATGAAGCAAATGGGGGCAACAGGAAGGGAAAAATATTGAATAAATATGCATGATTCTTTTCATAACTTACAGAACTGGGGATCAACTTCGACCACATCTGGCAGAAGACACTAACAGTGCTACACCCATTAAAAGTAGCAGATGGCAGCATCATGAATGAGACTGATTTGGCTGGACCAGTGGTCTTCTGTCTAGCTTTTGGAGCCACATTATTACTGGTAAGATATTGATTGCAAAATATTACTGTTTGTGCATTGATATTCTTGGAAACACTGGGAAAAAAGCCAAGTTACCTATAGGTTTATTGGAAGTGACTTCTTGGCATGGAGGGCAAAAAAGCACATCCTCACCAAGAATTTGTAGCTATGTGGAGGAGGAGCTGGGGCTTCACACGCCATTGATTAAAATTAATGAGTTCACTCTCGTTTAACTTCAGTGGAGTTTGGATCTAAGACTTTGTGCTTGGCTTTTGTGCTGCAATTATTTCAATGTAATTTATATTTCTTTTCATACTTTGCTTTTGAGGAATATGGCTCCCTTTTGTCACAAGTATGGGCATGACCTGTGTTCTCAGATTTTTACCTGTTTGGGGTTTTTTTTATAGATTGAGAAGTTTTACTTTCAGAATCATACCCTGTCTTTTTGCAGTGTCTCTGTTATCTTCTGTCTTACCAGGAATCAGAACAGTGGACACATTAAATACTGGAATATTTATTTCATCATTTTGGAGTTTATTTTTTAGCTCTTATTGTGTTTAATATTTGAGTCCATTTCTCTGTTTTGTTTCATTGTATTTCTTTGCTCCGTTCTCTTTATTCCTTGTTCTTTACTGATACTCGAGGCAAGGAAACTCAAAATTCAAGTGTAAAAAGTGATTTCATAAGCACTGATACATTAGGCATGACTTTCAGTGTCAAGAGTCAGCCTCGTAAAACACTTCTAAAGTAAACCTGCTTTCACATTGTTTATACTTCTTAATAGGTCAGCAGCTGTTGAAGCCTGGTGTTTTTTTCAGTTTAGTTTAATTGAAATAAGACTGTGCTTTAATGACTCAAAAGTGTCAATTATGAAATGACAGTAGCAGCAAACAGTTTTCCTCATCATTGAAAACTTCAGTATTTTTAATCAGTTTTTTTTCCTCTGCCTTCAACCACTGCATTTAGTTTTTGCCTACAATGTCACATTGCTGTGACGCTTAGAATGCAGTGTTTTGGTACCAAGGGGACTTTAAGCCTACTTTTATAAGTAACCTTTATGGAAACTAGACCAGTAGAATTAATGAACATGCTTATAATAGATAAATTTGTATGTTTTTTTCCTAAGAAATTATTACTTTCTCCTGTGTGCTTTTCTTTTTTTAAAATATATCAAGTGTAGTGAAAGAAAACAAGCTTAGCCCAGCAAAAAGATTAAAGCAGAAATGTTTTCTGTAACACTTGAGGAAGAAGAAAGCTGGGTTATAAACAAACTTAGTTTGGAGCTTAGTAGGGGGAGACAGATCTCGAAGCTGCACCCTCGTCCTCGGGAGGGCCCCAGGGCGCAGAGTGTGCAGTTTGATAGATGTTGTAAGGGAAGTGTCAGTCTCATCTTGGAAAAACAGATGATGGTGCGGGATACATACGCTTCGAAATAACAGCTGTACGCTGTCTGCATTCTTGCTAGTAAGCAAAATTCTGATTTTAAAATCTACACGAGTTCATTCTGCCGTTCATACACAGTGCTTTGCAGCTCCGCTTCACCTGCTCCTGGGAATGTTTTAGGATTTACGTTGTGCTATAACTTTGTGGAGTCTGTCACAAATTAAAGGGCTTTAGCTCTGAATTTGTGAAGAAGTTCCTGAAGTACAATTTTTTTGATCTTTATACACTAGCTCTGTAAAGATTATTATTGCAAGTAATTAGTCGGCATAAGAAGTTAGTTGATTAAACCTGAAAGGATGCACAGACTTTTGCAGCTCAGATCAAAGAATATCAATTCAGTCAGAATCTATTCATCAGGATAGGTAAAGTTGGGATAAATGTGCCTCTTGGGTGCCTAGAATATACAGAAAATATATCCTGGAATTCGGATTGTGGGGAAATACTGCATGTTGAATTTGAGTGTAGGAATTGGGGATGGGGGGAAAAGGGAGAGAATGAAGATACGCTGTAAACATTCCTTGCTTAGCCCTGCGTTACTTGTTCTGGTCGCTAACAGGCATTACTCTGCTTGGCTTTCAGGGTGGTAAAATTCAGTTCGGTTATGTGTACGGAATAAGTGCAATCGGGTGTTTAGGGATGTTTTGCCTCCTGAACTTAATGAGCATCACGGGTGTCTCCTTTGGCTGCGTCACCAGTGTCCTCGGATATTGTCTCCTTCCAATGATCCTACTTTCCACTTTCGCAATTGTATTTTCGTTGCAGTAAGTACATAAACTTTATAATTTGGTAATAAATTCCTCTCCTATGAGATGGTGAAGGAAGTTATTAAAAGGAATTTTCATAATCATTGATGAAGCTGCGTGTAATTTGAATATGACAGGAATTTGTAAAAACATAAATATCAAGTCTTGAGGTATTTACTGGATGAAAGATAGGTGAATAGTGGTTTCATCTATAAGTCAATTGATAGCTTTAAATACATAGACTCAAATAACAATATCAAATTTGTTTTCAGTCAGCTTTGAATCTGAAAAATCTCAGTACCTGTAAAGTCTAAAATTAATTCTAGTTTAAGATGCAAATTTGAATTCGACAAACAGAAGAAAATCAGTGTGATTCCTCAGGGCTGTATGAAATTAGGGACTGAAAAGACAGAACTCACTATAGTTACTTTACTCACTGCCTTTATGTTTCGTGTGCAGAAAGTTAATTTTGAGGGGTTTTATGCTATCATAATTGAATAATATCATTCTGAAGTCATGACTTTTAAATGAAGTAGTTCCAGTGAAAGATAAAAGCAGAAATTAATCTTCAAGTCTGTGAAAGGTTTTAGGAGGAGTCCAGTTATGACTCCTATAAGCATATCTACACAAGTCTTACATGAATGCTCTTTTTATTTCTGTCTTTACAGGGGAATGATGGGGATTATTCTCACGGCTGGAATCATTGCCTGGTGCAGTTTTTCTGCTTCCAAAATCTTTATTTCTGCCTTAGCAATGGAAGGACAGCAGCTTCTAGTAGCATACCCCTGTGCTTTATTGTATGGAGTCTTTGCTCTCATTTCTGTGTTTTGAATAGACTGTCCAAACTGTTGGACTCCAGTGGGCCAAAATAAAAACAGCAACTTGGAACATTTAGTTGGACCAGAAACAGCTGCAAACAACTGTATAGTGTTGCTATCACAAAACTTAGACCTGTTTTCAGTCATCTGGAACAATGAAAACAAATGTCTCGTGTTCACTTTTTTAGGACTTTGAATACTGTTTTCAATTGACCTGAGGTGTCTATAGCTTTAATAACTGTTCATGCTTATCAGGTTAATGTAATTTCTTTCCCATTCCTCTACCTTTAGAAAAGTGACTTTTGGTTGCTTATTTGAGGGTTGTGTTTTTTGTTTGGTGGGTTTTTCTTTTTTTTTAAGGGGAGTGAGGGAGGGAGAAGGGTTGCAGTTATAAATTGATAGATTTTTACCTGAAAAAGTTAATGATACTGCAGATGCCATGGATGTGGGGTACTCTTTGAATAAATCTGCAGTAATAAGGAACCTGTTTCCTGTCCCCTCTAATGAAAAGCAAAATGCACAAATGAACACAAGCAATTAGAGTATTTTCTATATTTTAACAAATATACTATTTGATCTCATTTATTGGTTCATTTGATATGATAGTATTTCAGGATTTAAGATACTTAAACTATGAATTAGAAAACAGATGCTTAAAGGGATCTGTAATTCTGTGACACTTGAAATATGAATGCATTTGGATGTCTAAGTAGCTATATGTTAACTTGGATTTCTGAAGATGACTGCAGCTAGAATTTCTTTTCTTAATGGTGCACATACAAGTAGATGAAGAGTAATCTCTTTTGCAGTACTTCCAAGAAAAACACCATTTTGAAGATGTTATGCTTGTCAGTATTGTAGTTACTGTAAAATAATTTAAGGCATATTGATTAAATTTTCCTTAGATTTTGAAAAGTGCTTGATTTTTCTAATTTCCTTTTTAATGGAGCGCAGTTACTGAAATAGAAACTTCAGTAGTGAAGGAAGATCATATTTAAAACAGTATTCAGTTAGTGGATTTAGCATTTGCTTCAGTTACAAATACTTAATCTTACGTGAGAAGTATAGTCTAGTTCGTGATGTTAGTCACAAGAAGTCTTACAAGTGTCAGAAGTGGGAAGGCAAAATTTGTTCTTCACATAGGCACTTGCTAATTCTTAAAGGAAGAAAAGGATACAGACATATTTTAACTCATACTGGGAAGGGGGTTACTTATGTAGATAGTAATTCCTTGCCCCTGCCTTGGAACTGGAAAAGCTCTAACGAAGTGCTGCTTTATAACTACCACTTCTTCAGCAATTTAATCCAAAGGATTTAATTTCATTGAATTTACCACAGGAGTTAGTCTGATGTTCATCTCTCACGTCCATGGAATGATCTAGCAGTAGACTTCAGGAGCTGAATCACTCACCGGTCAGATGTGTCACGTTAACACCTTCTGGTAAGGCTCGATGTGCAAATGCATCGTCAGAGGAGAACTTGGATCGTAGTGAATGAATAATTGCAAAGGCTCAGTGCACATTTTTATTCGCTCATCCCTTAGTTCTGCACGTTCTCCTAAACACATCTTCCTAGTGCCACCAGAAGCTGCTGACAAGGCCCTTTGTCGGCCAGAGCCAGCTTTTGCTTGTGTCACTGGGAGTTGTGGGAAGTGTCACGTGAGTGTAAATCCTTTAAGAACCAAACCCTGGTGCACACAACTGTTCTGAGTTGCATTAGGTACTGTAACTGGCTGTTACAATGAATTTTAAAACTCAGACACACAAAAAAATTCTATTTCCTTCTAGAAGCAAATTCAAAAGCTCAAGTAATTTTCTACTTTAAGTCATTACAAGTTATCCTAAATAAAAAGGTGAGTTGATTTTATTTAGCAAAATGTTTTACTCTGTACTTCGTACTTCTGATTTCTTTGGGTTAGTAGACCGTATCTGCCCCGGTGCACAAAGTTCTTATTCCTTTTAATGAAGAACATTACCTGCTGATGGAGCATGATATCCTGTGTTTGTGCAGGTAAATTACAGTGATTACTAATGAGGCCTAATTAAATACAGAATTGTTCTAGTAAGTATAAAAGCTCACAAACTTTCTTGAGCGCGTTGGGTTCAAATACTCAAATACTGTATTTCTGTGAAGCGGGTTAGCTCAGCTTACCTTGCATATAGGAGCACAAGCACTTCTTAAAGCTTGTGCTCGTTCCGTGGATAGCTTCCAGGGTGATCGCTGATGTGTTGAACTGGTATAAATAACCTTTTCTCTCACTGCAGCGCGAGCAAGCTAAGTGCACAGGAAAAAGATTGAAATTAGCTTGTCTCAGTATAGCACTGGCAATGCAGCTGCTGAGCTTGAAAAGATCGTATGAGAAGGTACTTATTTAAATCTGTATGTTCACAAAGTCCTTGCTTGGGCGGTGGAGGATGCGACATGTTCTGCTCAAGCAATGAGGTCTGACCAGTGAGTTTCGGGAGCGTTTTCTGTTCCTCAGCTGACATTGTGGAGAGTTGAGCAGTGAATTTCTAGCTGGTCTCTTGGGGGCAGGAGAGAAGTGAATGAGAGTAGAAGGTCCAACACTTTTAATTCATAGAGGACTTTATAAAAACACAATGTTACGTCTAGACTGGTAGTCTTAAATTTCCCAAATTCCTGGTACATTAATCAATGTGATTCCACTGGCTATGCTTATTGCCTTTCCAAAATCAATTCCATTGATTTTCTGTAATAATGTTTTGTCCTAGATCTTGCTTCAATTTTAGTTACAATTCAGAGGATTTAATCTTGCTCTCTCATAGAATGACAAGATTGTATGCTGTAATTCTTTACTCCTACATTTGCCTTTCATATTTAGTAGGACTTTTTATTCTTCTTACTTTCTAAATCTGAACTCTCCCCCTCAGTCTGTTAACATCAGTATTCTCACCCAGTTTTCAGATGAAATACTAACATTACTTGTTTCCATCCTGCATTGTCTTGTGACATTTTCATGTTATTCAGCTTGAAGCATTCAAATATGAATGCAGGTGTCCCTTTTTTAAAACCATTTTTGTTATCACACCCAATCTCGAAATTATTTCCTCTTCTATACAAGTAAAAAGTTACCATTCCCAATTTGTCCATTTTTTGTCCCAGTTTGTCGATGTTTCGACAGTGACTTTGTTTTGCAGGTCACTTGTTTTGCTACGAAGCAGCTGCTGACTGCAGTTCAGTTTGTTTCTATAGGCAAAATTTCTGTAAGTATTAGCCAATTACACGGCACATCCTTTACCAAAAAACGTGGGGTTTGTGCACTCTTGTGCCTTTCATCCGCGCGCTGGTGTTAGCATCTGTTCTTGAGGGGCTGGTACTTGCTTAGGGGTGGGTGAATGCCTCCAGAAGCTACAGAGAGCAGGGACTGATGTGGTGTTTGGGGTGAGGCCAGACGTTCCTCCCTCCTCGCGGCTGGCGAGGAGCATCCTGGGTTTGTACAGGCAGCACCGACACCGCTGGTGCTCGCACCGCCTTCTCTGCGGGGTGATTACCTTCCTTCTCGGGAGCTGAGCGGGTCAGGGCTGGGCTGCTGTAGGGGCCGTTTGGTTGGGTCCGTGATAAGCTGGAATACCCCCGGGGCTTGTCCCCAGGTGTCAGCACCGGGATGTTTTCACCAGATAATCTGTGCACAAAGGAGCTGGGACTCTGGTTCCTCTGGGGACCGATGGCTGGGCAAGCGCTTCCCGGTGTGCAGGCTGGGGGGGAGCCGCTCGCTGATGCACTAATGGCACGTTAGTTCTTATCGATACCATTGCTTTAAAGTTTGATAATGTTTTTTAGGAACCGTGGTGGCTAAAAGAACAGCCAGCACTCTGGGGTACAACACAGACGTTCTACCACAGAAACAGGGTTTGCAAAATAGAGAGTATCTCTTAGCTGTGCCAGTTGATTTACCTGGACAAGCTTTCAGCCTGCCTTCACCGAGATGCTTTGGGGTGTCTGCTTAGTGTTACACACTGCATCTTCACAAAAATTGGAAGGAATGGAGTAACTGGGACTTGCCATTTCCTGCTTCTCCACTGGGTGGGCCTGCAGCTTACCTGCTGCGCTGCTGCTGCTGTGCCGCGCTGCAGGGCTCGGGGCTGGCACGACTCCACAACACGGAACCTTTCCCTTCCCTGTCCCCTCCTTGTTTGGCTCCCACAGGATCAACAGCAATCACGTTCCCAGGTGCTAATGCTAAATGCTAAAGCAGCTAATGCTGTCAGGATGGGTTTCTGTTCCCTCTAACGGGGAAGGGAATCGTTCCAGTCATGGCCTGTCAAAGTAGCAGAGACGCCGTGGGTGCGGGGTAGCCCTCCTGGCAACGAGAAACCTTTGCTACGTCTCATTCTTCATATAAATCTGTAATATTTCCAACCAAATATATATATTCCCCCTCACATTACCAGGAAATGTCTTTGTTTACTGTACGCAGTCCAAAAGCACACACAATTGTTTGGGTAGTTCACCACCTTTCCAAGTCTTGGGTGACACAAACCGGCAAGCTCTTCCCTGGTGTGGATCATATTGTGTTGTAGCGCTGTCTTGGTATCTTGTCTGTGTGAGTTGACTCATCCTTCCTTTGCTATACTTATAAAATTTTATTAAATAGCATCCCCTTCAAAACTAAAACAATTTATTTATACAAAACAGTTTTTAAAAATACTTTTGTTGTTTAGAAGTTGCAAGCCTTAATACCTCAAGATGTGAGGACCTCTGATTATTTATCATGGTTATCCTCAAGCGCCCTGTGAGATGGGGAAGTTCTCTCGTCCTGTTTTGGAGCGAGGAGATGTATGTAATCTGTGTAAGTCCTGCTGCATTTGACCATCTTCACCCCGTTATGTTTTGCTGGGATATTTCTCCAGGGGGGAATTCTCAGTCCAGATCTCAGGGACACAGTTTGGAAGTGAGAGGAGGTTTTGTAATTGGAAAGTCTGTTGATTGTGTTTGCCAGCTTTATGCTTTCCTAATCAAAGCCAGCAGGCCGTTAGCCAAATGGTTGGCCATGCTTTAGGAAGGACTGCAAGCACTGTGCTCTTAAGGGCATTTTTTTTTTCTCCTATTATTTCTTTGCTTTATTGCAGGAAGTACTGACATTAGAAAAGTAAGGATTCTCTGGCCCTCATCGGGAATGGTGAAGTGGAAGATTGTTTAAAATTAGACCCTAGTACTGGAATAGGCCTCTCTCACAAATTGTACTGTAATTACGTGTCTTTAGGAAGAAGGGCGTTGCTCTGTTTCTTTATGCACTAGACTCCACCACATCGTTCTTGGAATTACAATGCTCTTACCATACATATTTCTATTCATTTTTTCCCAACGTTCTTGCTTTTCTGCTGTTAGCATAGGAAAATCTAATGTTCTTGGATACCTGCCTTACCTACTGATCTACCAGACCTATTCGCTCTTCAGTCATGGAATTTGCATCTGCTTCCATGCCAGAGCTGAAGCCAAAGGGAAGAAGCCTTCTGTGCTTC